CCCTGTAAACTTTTACTCAATCCACAATAAAAAAACTTAAAAAAAAAAAAAAATAAGATATTTGAAATGAATAAATCATTTGTCTTGCAGAATTCTATCATGTGATCTCCATCATCATTTCTATCACCAAGGCCATATTTTCCAACTACTCATCCTTCCACTTTGTTTCCAACCTTTGTATTCCAATCACCAGTAATGATCAATAAATCTTGATTGCATGTTTGATCAATTTCAGACTGAAGAAGCTGGTAGCATTCTTCAGTTTCATTATCACTGACTTTAGTGGTTGATGAATAAATTTGAATAATGTGGTATTAACTGGTCTTCCTTGTAGGTGGATGTATATTATCCTATCACAGACAGTGTTGTATCTCATGACTACTCTTGACATGTTCTTTTTGATGATGAATGTGACACCATTGTTCTTCAATTTGTCATTCCCAGCATATTAAACCATGTGATTGTCAGATTCAAAATGGCCAATACCAGTCCATCTCAGTTCACTAATGCCTAAGATATCGATGTTTGTACATTCCATTTTTGATAATTTTCCTAGACTCATATTCTTATATTCCATATTCTGGTTATTAGTGGATTTTTACAGCTGTTTCTATTCATTTTGAGTTGTGCCCCATCAGCAAATGAAGGTCCTGAGGGCTTTACTCTATTCGCACAGTTATAGTCAACTCTACTTTGAAGAGGCAGCTCTTCCCCAGTTACATTCTGAGTATCTTCCAATTTGAGGGGCTCATCTTCTGGTACATTTTCTGACAATATTCTGGTTCTCTTCATCATGTTTCAGTATTCCATAATCTGGTGCTGACAGTGTCCCATTGCTATTCATGAGATTTTCAGTGACTAAATATTTGGAAGTAATTCGCCTCTCATTCTTCCTTGTCTGTCTTCTTCTGGAAGTGCATATGAAATCTGTACCATGGTTGACCCTGCTGGTATTTAAAATACTGGGGGCATGATAACAAATGCACCAGCAACCACAGTACAACAACTGACAGACATGTGGTGGCTAATAAGCATACTCTAGAAGAATTACTCGTTGGATATTCAAATGTTTGTGTATAATTCCAGAATGTACAGCCACCCTGTATATAATATATATATTTATATATATACACTTTTTTTGAAGATAAGAATATATGATTTTTGGTTGTACAAGATTCTACTATTTCAGTCTTAGAAGAGTGGTACATTGAAACTTTTGGTTATTTATGTAAATATATAAAAAATAATGTTTCCACTAATAAAACTTATTTTTTCCCAGATATCGCAATAGTATGAAGACAAATATAATCAATACACAATGCTCCTTTATGAATATCCCCAATGTGATTGTACCAGATATTGAAATGGAAATAAGAAGAATGGAAAATGGATCATGCAGGTGAATCCATACATTTTAATACTATCCACAGTTCTTTCTTTGAACTGGGCTTAATCTCAGTTTAACTTTGTAATTTGTAACCTTGAACTTTGTAATTTATTTGAGTGACCATATACTTTCAAATAGCAAAACTCCTATAACACATGAACATAGATATTACTGTGTTCATTTTTAGAGGCATCTGTTAAGTATCTTAGTTAGCTATTGCTGCTGTAAAAGAAATACAATAAATAGATGGCTTTAACAAACAGAAATTTAATCTCTCACAGTTTAGAAGGCTAGAAGTCTGAACTCAGACCTCTGTCTCTGGAGAAAAGTCCTTGTCTCCTTCCAGCATCTATAGGCCCAGGATTCCTTGGAGATCTCCATGTGTCTTGCCATCAATCTTTCTCTGGATGTAGGAGCTTCACAGTATAGAGACTCAAGGTCCAAAGGATTTACTCCACTCCCAACTCTTCTTTCTTGATGGTAGTACTTCCTTCTTTCTTTGCTTTTACTTGTCTCTCCTTTATATGTCAAAGAAATTGATGCAAGATACAACCTAACACTGATTGCCTCAGGCCTCATTAATATTGTTGTTTGGTGTCATGTAAAAAGTTCTGACTCGTAGCAAATCCACAATAGAACGAAACACTGCCCATTCATGTGCCATCCTCACCGCTGCTGATGCGGTTGAGCCCTTTGTTACTGCCACTGTGTCATTTCATTTTGTTAAGGGTCTTCCTCTTTTTTTCTGACCCTCCACTTTACCAAGCATGATGTCTTTCTCCAGGGATTGGTCCATACTAACAACATGTCTATTACTATTGTTTGTCAGTTTGTTGTATTGTGGTGACTGACATGTTGCTGTGATGCTAGAAGCTGTTGTTAGGTACTGTCGAGTCAGTTCCAACCCCTAGTGACCCTGTGCACAACAGAATGAAACACTGGTCCTGCTCCACCCTCACAGTTGTTGCTACTCTTGAGACCATTATTGCTGCCACTGTGCTAATCCATATCATTGGGGGTCTCCCTCATTTTTAATGTCCCTCCACTTTACCATGCATGATGTCCTTCTCCAGAGACTGGAACCTCCTGATAAAATGTTCAAAGTATGAGAGATGAAGTCTAGCCATCTTGGCTTCTAAGGAGCTTTCTGGTTGTACTTCTTCCAACACAGATTTGTTTGTTCTTCTGTTAGTCTGTGGTACCTTTAATATTCTCTTCTAACACCATAACTCAAATGAATCAATTCTTCTACGGTCTTCCTGATTTACTGTCCAGCTTTCAGATGCATATGCGGTTATTGAAAATACCATGGCTTGGGTCAGGCACACCTTAGTCCTCTAGCTGACATCTTTGCTTTTCAACACTTTAAAAAGGTCTTGTGCCTTTTGGTTTTCTAACTCTGGGTTTTTGCACATTTTGTTATAATATTTGACTGTCTTTTCAAGCTGCCCTTTGAGATTTTCTGTTCAGCTCTATTACTTCACCAGTTCTTCCAATCACTTTAGCTTCGCAGGGTTTGGGAACAAGTTTCAGATTCTTTTCTGACATTCATTTTGGTCTTTAAAAAACATTTTTTTTTCTTTCTTCATGTATGATGTTCTTGGTGTCATGCCATTACTCTTCTGGTCTTAGTGTCTAATGCAGCAAATCCATTCCACAGATGGTCTCTAAATTTAGGTTGGATATACTCAATTTCCTATTTTGGCTCCCATGGAGTTGATTTAATTTTCTTCAGCTTCACTTGAACTTGCATATGAGCAATAGATGGTCTGTTTCACAGTCAAGCCCTAGCCTTCTTTTCTTTTTTTAATGTTTTATTGTGAATTATGTGATAGTTTACATGGGAGAACATTAGCTTTACATTCATCCTATCGTATATCATTTCATTGCCATGGTTACAATCCCCTCCATGCATCATCAACCAACCAAAGGGTTGGTTGAAGCCTGACCCCCGGTCATCAGCACACAGCCCCTCTCCCTCTCTGGGTTTAAAATCCCCAGCTGCTCCATCTCCCCACGTCATTTTCTCTGCCTCCATCTCTGGCATCACTGCTTCTCTGGGGAGGGTCCCGCTCTCTGCTCTTCTCCCTTAATGGTCCCAGGGACCTCTGCTCCTAGACTGCAAAGTCAGTCAATCACTCCCCTCCTTTTCCTGGCCTTCTTTTGACTAATGGTACTGAACTTCTCCATCCTCACTTCCCACAGACTTACTCAATTTGATACCTGTGTATTCCATCTGGTGAAATCCATATGTTTTATGTTGTTGAAAAAAGGTATTGGCAATGAATAAGTTGTTGGTCTTGCAACGTTCTATCATGTGATCTCCAGCATTGTTTCTATCACAAAGTCCATGTTTTCCAACTACTGATCCTTGCTTCCCCCCCCCCCGACTTTCTCATTCTAATCATCAGTAATTATAAATTCATCTTGATCAATTCCAAACTGAAGAAGTTGATTGTTTTTGTTGTTGTTAAGTGCTATTGAGTTGGTTCCGACCCATAGCCACCCTGTATAAGGTTTTCAAGGAGCAGCTGGTATGCTTGAACTGCTGGCCTCGTGGTTCAAATGGACCTTGCAGTCCATCTCATTAACCAACAACACCACACCAGAACTCTGAAGAAGTTGGTAGAATTGTTCAGTTTCATCTTTATCTGCTTTAGTGGTTGTTGTGCAAATTTGAATAATAGTGGTATTAACTGGCCTTCCTCATAGGTGTATGGATTTTGTCCTAACATTGACAGCATTGTACTTCAAGATATATTTTGAAATGTTCTTTTTTTGAGGATGAATGTGATGCCATTCCTCTTCAGTTTGTCATATCCATGCCATTAAGGTCAATTCAACTTTGAGGAGGCAACTCTTGCCTGGTCATATTTTGAGTGCCTTCCAACCTGAGGAGCTAATCTTTGGCACTATATTAGACAATGTTCTGCTGCTATTTATAAAGTTTTCCATGACTGAACATTTAGAAGTGGTCTGCTTCTCCTTTTTCCTAGACAATCTTAGTCTGGAAGCCCTGTTGAAATCTCTCCACCATGGGTAAATCTTTTGATATTCAATTACCAGTGATAGAGCTTCTAGAAACAATAACACACAGCCTCCACAGTATGAAAAACTAACAGGTGAATAGTTATATTAACACTGTAGAAGTGAGGATTTGCAACATATAGCATAATTACAACTGATCGGACTAGATCACATGAGAGCACATCATGGAGGAAGTGATTATATTATATTACATCTCATGGGGGATTGTTGTTGTTGTTATTAAGTGCTGTGTAGTTGGTTCTTACTCTTAGCAACCCTGTAATGAGTTTCCAAGGAGGATTTGAACCACTGGCTTTGCAGATAGTAGTCCAGTGCTTTTCCTACTGTGCCTTAACTGCTAAACCGCTGAGAATTGAGGTCCTGCCAAGCTGACATAAAATCTAAACTATCACTGCACCTGTGACAATTATTTCCTCAATCACTACCCGGATCTTTCCTCATGATAGACTTCAAATAGAAAGGATAACATTGCCATAAATAAGTGTTTTGGAGTTCCATCATTTTTTAGTGGCAGGGAATGTTATTACAAGTTAGCTCATATAATTGCATAATACATCTTAAAAATACAGAGACCACACTTTCTATTTAATAAATATTAACATCAGCAATACAATAAACATAAGGAATGTGGGAGATCTTGAAAATCATTTCTTAAGGAAATGCATTTTACTAAATTGTGCATATTCTCGTGAAAGAATTATTTATATTCAGTATAGTTCTCACTTGACTCTCAAAATTGTGTTTGTAATAGGAGAGGGAAAGGAAAGAAATGAGGCCATGGGCAGCTTAATGAGAAATGTTATTCTTCCACACATTCTGTTGTTGAAAAGTACCATTGGGTCAGTTCTGACTCACAGCGGCTCTGTATAGGGTTTTCAAGGAGCGGCTGATGAGTTTGAACTGCTACCGCAGTTGCAATTCAAACTGACCTTGAGGTCTAGTGCTTACCCTAGGATGCCATACCATGACGTCTATTGTGATTTGTAACACTGACCTAACTCATCTTTGCCTCCTATTGGACTGTAGCTCTCTGTCTGATGATGATGACAATGCCTCTATATTGGAAGAATCGGAATGTGAAAACTTCCAGACAAGAGGTTCCTTTAGAAAGAATTCACACAGAAGGAGAGAACCATCTCAGAGGTGAGCAGCATGATCCATAGTCAGCATCTGTTTTTAAGCTGTTATTTAGATGCAGGTCTTTTACTCCTTCCTGAGTTATTGTTGTTATTGTTGTTGTTAAGTGCCGTCGAGTCAGTTCTGACTCATAGAGACCCTGTATAGGGTTTCCAAGGAGCAGCTAAGCTTGAATCACCGACCTTGTGGTTCAAACCAACCTTGCAGTCCAGTGCATTAACCCCAGCATCACACCAAGACTCCACACTATCACAGATCTTAAATATCACTGCCTTTCAACGGGTTAAAAAAAATCCTGACTTTTTCAATTTCTAAAATGTGATGAACATGTTAGTTTCTCAGAGTAGACTTGGCAAATGTCCTTGGTATCCAGTGATTATGCAGGATCTGTGTAGGAACTTGCTACTTCTTCTGCCTACTCTCTTCCTTTCTGGAGAAATTGCTACTGCCCAATATTTTTCAAGTCATAAACACTCTTGCTGATCAATTTCCCAAAGAGTCATATCTGTCCATAAGAAATTTTTGTCCCATTCCTTTCTGATTTACTGCTTCTTTCTGATCCTTCTTCCAGGGCCCTGAAGAAACTATGTAAGAGGAATTGTCCTTCATTTTCTGAAATGTTCTTTACCTTTTTATCTGACTTTCAGGGAAGCGGAACGCTGCAGTGAGTAGAGGAGAAAAGCTAAGATTCCTTACTCGGAAATAAAGTAGACATGCACACTTCAAATAATGGATCTTCTGATGGTGGGAAAGGGGTACAGTGTTTTGGTGGAACATAATCTATGAAAGATATTAACCTATTTGTTTTTTCCCCTGCCTTTTCTTTTGTTAAAAAAAAGTACTGTTGTTGAGAATATGCACAGCAAAACATACACCAATTCAGTCATTTCTACTTGAACAATTTAATGACATTGATTGTATTTTTTGCTGTGCAGCCATTCTTACCCTCTTTTTCTGAATTGTTTCTCCCCCATTAATATAAACTCACTGCTCCCTAATCTTTGGAGCTGCTGTTGTAACTTTGATCCTTCTTTAAATAGGATAATGCTCAAGGCAGAGATTTTTTACTAGTGAATCTAAACTGTAGTTCAGTTTTAAGAAAATTTTAGAAGATATTTTTGGTCTAAGTTTTAAAGATTTATCTCAGGCCCATAGTTTCAGTGGGTCATCCAGGCTCCATGGTTCCAGAAAGTCTGGAATCCATGATAATTTGAAATTCTGTTCTGAATTTCCTCCCTTTTGATGAGGATCCTATGAAATCTTTAATCAAAATGTTCATTACTGGTAGCCAGGCAGTTCTTCGAGTCTCATGGCAAAGGAGGAGGGTGTTCATTGAGGCAATTAGCCACACACTCCATATCCTCTTCTTATTCCTGACTCTTATTTTTTGTTGCTCTAGGTGAACAAATAGTAATTATTTATTATCTATTATGCATTGGATGGCCTGTTGAATATCCCTAGCACAACAGAATGAACTAAGAGGTAGAACACTATTAGGCCAATTAACTGGAATGTCATACAAAACCATTGCTCTAAGTCTCCAAACCAAGTAATTAAATCCCATGAGGTTTTGGTTGTATATAAGAGGCCTAAGTAGTTATTCTTTTTTCTTTCTCAATTGTTGTTTCAAATATATCTATCATACAACTTTTGCCAGTTCAACTTTTTGTAAGTTTGCAACTTATTGACAGTAATTTCAATAGCTGCCTGTGCCACCCTACTCTTAATCAATGTAATTCTTCCATTACCATTAACCTGCTCTTCTCCCTCCCATCACTGGTAACCACTAATGAACTTTTGTTTCTATGCATTTACCTTTTCACCTCTTTTTATATAAGTGAGGCCATACAATATTTGTCCTTTTGCATAATGTCTTCAAGGTCCATTCACATTGCAGCCTGGATCAAGACTTTGTTTCTTCCACTTGCTGAGTCATAGTCCATTGTATATATGTATATATTGTTTATTTGTTCACCTGTTGATAGACGTTTAGGTTGTTTCCACATTTTGGCTATTGTGAATATGGTACAATAAACATTGTTGTAGAAGTCTTTCTCTGAGCCTCCCTCTTTTTTTCTCTCAGCCCTTTTCCTACTGGTCATTTCTAGTTTTCCTCCTCTTTTTGTCTTTTCTCTTTTCTCCATGTTCCCTGGAAACATAAGTCTAAGACATCTGGCTGGGAGTTAGCAGTACCCAAAGTAGTTTACTCAAGTTCAAAGAGGATGCGGATTTTTGTATGAGCATTCATAAACAGGCATTTACTAACCATATTGGTTCATGACAAGGTTTTTTTTTTGCCAGTGATGCCACAATAAAAAGGTCTGGCAGTCTGTTTCTGTTAAGATCACAGCTAAGAAAACCATATGGAACATTTTTATTCTGTAGTACATAGGGTTGCCATGAGCCAATTGAACTTGATGGTAATGGGTTTGCTTTTTTATGATTGGTTCATTTCACTGATGTTTGGCAATTCCTGCTTCATGGAGGCTCCATACTCGTATTTTCCACAATTTTCTTGGTAATCTTTAGTAATGTGTACAAACAGAAAATAATTTGTTCTTGAAGACTGTTATTTACCATAGACGTAGGCTAGATGATGACATTATGATTTCACTGTACTTCTTCATTTCCCAGGGAGCAGTACCTGCCTGGAGCCATTGCACTTTTCAATGTTAACAACAGCAGTAATAAGGACCAGTAAGTACATTTACAATGTAAACTAAAGCTCTCTATTAAATCAGTAACAAATTCTGTATCTGACATAGTGCAAATATTTATTAGTAATCTCTATCTAGTGTAATGACAGTAATAAACTATTATTTTGTTGTTTGGTTATTTACTTCTGAAGAACATGCAGTTACCCATGTTAATGAAAAGTTGTTGTTGTTAAGTGCTGTCAAGTCAGATCCTACTCATAGCAACCCTGTAAAGCGTTTCTAAGAAGCAACTGATGGGTTTGAACCATGCACCTTGCGATTAGCAGTCCAGTGCTTATCCTATAACATCACACCAGGACTCCAAATTAAGAGATTTTTTTGTTGTGTGCAATTAAGTCAGTTCTGACTCATAGCAACCCTGTATAGAGTTTCTGAGAGTGGCTGGTGGGTTTGAACTGCCAACCTTGTGATTAGCAGTCAAGTTCTTATACTACGTTGTTGTTGTTAGGTGCCATCGAGTTGGTACCGACCCCTAGCAACCTTATGCACAGCAGAATGAAATACTGCCAGATGCTGGGCCAACCTCATTACTGTTGCCAAACTTGAGTCCATCGATGCTGCCACTTGGCCAATCCATCTCGTTGGGGTTCTTCCTCTTTTTCTCTGACCCTCCACTTTACCAAACATGATATCATTCTCCAGCGATGGGCCCCTCATGACAATATGTCCGAAGTATGACAGACAAAGTTTGGCCATCTTGGCCTCCAAGGAGCACTCTGGCTGCACTTCCAAAATGGATCTATTTGTTCTTTTGGCAGTCCGTGGCACTTTCAATATTCTCCTCCAATACCATAACTCAAAAGCATCAATTCTTCTATGGTCTTCCTTATTCAGTCTCCAGCTTTTGCATGCATATGAGGCTTTTGAAAATACCATGGCTTGAGTGTGGCGCACCTTAGTCCTCAAGCTGACATCTTTGCTCTTCAAAACTTTAAAAAGGTCTTGTGCAGCAGATTTGCCTAATGCAATATGTCGTTTGATTTCTTGACTGCTGCTTCCATGAGTGTTGATAGTTGATCTAAGAAGAATGAAGTCCGACGACGTCAATCTTTCTCCATTGATAAAAATGTTGTTTATTGGTCCAGTGGTGAGGAATTTTGTTTTCTTTGTATTGAGATGTAATCCATACTGAAGGCTGTGCTCTTTGATCTTCATTAGTAAATGTTTTAAATCCTCTTTACTTTCAGTAAGCAAGGTTGTTTCATCTGCATATCGCAGGTTGTTAATGAGTCTTCCTCCAATCCTAAAACCACATTTTTCTTCATAGAACCCAGCTTCTCAGATAAGTTGCTCAGCATACAGGTTGAATAAGTATGATGAAAGAATGCAACCTTGTTGCACACCTTTCTTAATTTTAAACTATTCAGTGTTCCCTCGTTCTGTTGGAACAACTACCTCTTGGTCCAGGTACAGATTCCTCATGAGCACTATTAAGTGTTCTGGAATACTCATACTTCACAATGTTGTCTATAGTTTGTCATGATCCACACAATCGAAAGCCTTTGCATAGTCAATAAAGCACAGGTAAACATCTTTCTGATATTCTCTGCTTTCAGCCAAGATCCATCAGACAT